CCTAGCGGCCCCACTAACACCTCTTCCAGCTGCAAGCTTAGCTTTCCCAGGTACTGGCCAGGCTCACAGGTGCTTCACTTCAGGGGTTGCCAGTTGTGAGGTGCAGGGTGAAATAGCTATGGCTATGTTAAAATTATACAGTGCCTGTACCTCATCTGGAATATTGTGTGCAGTTTTGGTTAGCATGTCACAAGAAAGCCATTACAGCTCTAGAGGGCAACCAGACTAATCCCCTGTCAAAAGGGAATGCTGTACTGACAGATTAAGGGAAGTGAATGATTTTAGACTAGAACAGAGAAGATTATGAGGGGAATGGTTACAGTTAGTCAAAAACCTGAAAGTCATTCAACAAGTCAGCTCAGGGGACATCTTCAAGGTCATTGATGACAGAAAACACGAAGCAATTCACTACATAGAGAACGTGCTTTCAAGTCGTGATGTTGAAGCTGATTCAATAGGTTTCTTTAAGAGAGGGAGAAATAGAATTCTTAGATCATTAAGCTAAAAGTAACTGAAAGGACAAGATGGGCATCCTGTCATTTGTAAACTTTCAGTCACCTGTCTCTGTAAGATCATTCAGCCAGGCACTGAATTTCAAGCAAAGATTCAAACATGAAGATCACGGAGCTTTCAAATGAATTCAGAGATAGAGTTGCATTGAGGCACTGATCTGGAGAAGGGTATAACACAGTTCAAACACACTTAATTCTCTTTGAGGTTGGTGAGGTTAATCGTTAAGAAGTGGAAGGCAACCGGCTACCAAACCGAGCACCCGGGAAAGGAGGAAACATGTTTGTCTTGGTCACTCAACTTACTGGGCTAGCAAACTGAAAGAGAAAACATCTCAAATCCTGCATGGGGTTTTCAACAGCACCTAATTCATACTGCAAACATGTGGTAAAAGGCTTTGTAGTCAGACAAGAACGTTGTGGTCTAAACACAAAGTGTTAAATCTGGTGCAAACCCAACATAATGCATCACTCAGTCAAAACCATCCCTGCTGAGAAGAATGGTGCTGGCAGCATTTCGTTATAGTTCTGCTTATCAACAGGGACTGGGAAGCTTATTGAGAGAGATGGGAATATAGATGGAGCAAAATGCTAGTAAACTTCAGAGGAAAACCTACTTCAGAGCCAAAAATTCGCCTTTCACCAGGACAATGATCCAAAACACAAGCCCAAAGCTACACTGGAGTGTCTTAAAAATAAGATTGTGAATGTTCTTGAGTGGCTCAGTCAAACACCTCACCTTTATCCTATCGGAAATCTGTGCAAAGACTTGAAAACTGCTGTCCATGAGCAATGCCCACACAACTTGAGACAGCTTTTAAAAATCTGCATAGAAGAATAGGCAAAACCTTAACTGAAACTGCAATATAATTATGACCTAATTCATGTGTACTGTATGGCATTTTGTGGATAATTTTGATTTAAGAACCTTATTCAAGGGTATAACATCAGCAGTGTCCAACACAAGATGTAATCCCTTGATACTTCAGTCCAGAGACCTAACCCTTCCTCCATGTTTCTATCCGAATAAGAAGAATCAAGGGACAGGAACTAAAAATGACTGTAAACCTCTGTAATTAATTACTGTTTCACTTATAATGGTTTTATGCTTAGCTTTTAAGAAAAAGGAGAATTTCTGTGTGTCTATCAATAAACATAAATGTGTTTCTTGTGGTAAATACCATCAGACTTGGGCTTCTTCAATAAATTAGAACAAAATACTAAAAAAACAAATATTCCAAGAGATTTGTAGCTTGATAAGAAGATTATAGAGTAGATTGTAGGGGTGGAAGGTGGCATCAATAAAGCCCAGTGCAAATACACACAAAATCCTCTCAGTTAGCTGTGCAAAAATATATTGTACTCCACCAGTTGTTTTTACAAAGTGAGAGTTTTGCAAAATAGTTATCCCAGCCCACTCATTTTTGGGTCTTTCAGTGCAAGCCAACTCACAAAGAGTTTCCAGAGGATTTCAAGACGAAAACAGTAGGGGCTTAATGATTCATCATGGCATCCCACTTTGTTATGTGATATGCAGTTTCTCAGAATGAATATGTAATGCAATGCAGGTACTGTAATAACCATGTCTTCTACTTAAACATTTGATGCCCATACAGTGTGTTGTCTTCCTTTCACTTATCAAATGGATCACTGAGTTTCCAAAAAAGCTAAGCTTTTAAGCATTTGAAAAAAATTAAAAGCTCAAAGTGAGGGAGCATGAAACACTGACAGACAAATCTTTAATGAATGGACTAATGACTAATACACATTGTTAACTGGTCATAATCCCTTGAAGTAAATAAATAAACTTTGAAGGCAAGTTTGTTAAGGAGTATGTTATATATATATAACATATTTTGAGGGATAACTACAGTTTTATGTTTTCAGAACGATGATGTAAGATTTCCCTTAATGGTATAGCAGTTTCTCAAGAGTTTCAACACCCAACAACCCTCTGGAACGCCCTGTATCGTACTACTGATATTACTTGAACGAATAACATGAGATGTCTGGAGCTATGGATATTTTTCATATCCTTTTTCTTGTTTCTGTGTTAAGCATGCTTTTTCATTCTCTACCACAGAAAGCTCAGTAGAATTTATAAAGTCATTTGTGTCATTTAGCAGAAGGTGTGAAATCACTATGACTGAATGCCGTGGGAGAGAAAACCTTTATTTCTTCCTTGAACAGCATGTACTGATTATTTCATCATATCTTCCTTGTGCATTGGCAACAGGCTGTGTCGGTCAATGTTGAAAGAAAGCTTCTGTGCTTCTGTGCATTTTGCCAAACAGCAAATGACAAGAAGGAAATACCAGCCTAGCCTCTAGTGTTTAAACTTTCATATTGTATATTTTGTTCCCTAATCACTGCCTACTCTATTTAAAAAAATGCCAGAATAGTACACATACGTACACCTCCGTGCAGCAATGCAACTCATGTATTTTTAGGTGTCATTGTTGTCAGACAACATTTTACTTTTATCCTTGACACATAGTTTTTCCATTTGCCTCAGCTTTCTTTTTTAACATGAAAGTAGAAAATGTGAAAGTGTTACATTTCTAGGAAGGAAACCACAGTGTTATGGATGAACAGGTTTATGTTTTAATAAATGTCTTCTGAAACCAGCAGTCATTCAAATAGCCTTATCTCCAAATCTCCCCAACATCAATTTCAGAGGTTTAATACTTAAAAAACAGAGACTAAACAATATTGCTGCTATTAATCATCACAGTGTTC